TTCAGACACCATCATCGTTGCGAAGGTCACGTGATGACTATCCCTACTGTGTTCAGGCCCGTAAGACACTTTTCTCGAAGGGGGGGGGGCGGTTTTTACTAAAGAGAATATGAAATTGTCAATTTTTGCCGCGTAAATCAAATCGCGTAAGTCAGAGGGGGGGGGGGTCGGTTACTCCCTATATTGGGGCCATTCAGCCTATTTTGTTGTTTTATTGTTTTTAGATTAAATATTGAATGAGCAATTTGGAGAAACGCTGGAATAGGGGGAAGGTGTGCTAGAGGCATAAATGTTTACCCGAAACTTTTTACCAGTTCAAGATCACATTCAGTGATTTCTGGACACTTTAAGGTGTTTTAATCAATAGAATCAATTAACGGAAATTCAGATTTTCAATCATTTTCTTCTTAGGGGAGCGAGGGGGCAGCACAGGAAAATTCTACCAATTCAAGATGCTGTCTGAGCACTTTTAATGTGTTTGAGTAAATTAATGCTTTAGTTTTTGGGGTGGGGTGCCAGAAATTTTTATGATTTCATTATGTCACTTGGTGACTGTTTAAGTGTCCAAACTGTCCAATTGTTTTGTATGGGTTGTGAGGAGTGGCCACTCCCTGTAGAAAATTTTACACTTTTCAGATGCTATTTGGTGCTTTCTGGGCTTTCTGAGTCAATAAAAAATGGGAATTCTTTTAGGGGTGTCAAAGAAGATGAGAGGGTGAAGTGTGGGGTGCCAGAGGGGGACCAAGTGGTTGTCCCCCAGAAACATTGACCATATCAAGATGCTATTTGATGATGTCTGGGCACTTTTTTGGTGCATCTGAGTACTTTTAAAGTGTATGAGTCAATAAAAAATTTGAAAAATAATTGTTTTTCTCAATTTTTGAGAATGGTCAAGGGGGGGGGGTATGCCAGAGGGGGAGGTTGGGTGGGGATACCAGAGGGCGAGTAAAAATTATTGACTATATCAAGGAGCTATTTGATGATGTCTGGGAACTTTAAAAGTGTCTGAGACAATACACAAAATTCAGAATTATTTCAATTGTTTTGTAGGACATGTGAGGGGTGACCAACTCTCCTAGAAAATATTACAATTTTAATATGCTATTTGGTGCTTTCTAGGCACTTTCAAAGTATATGACTCAACAAACAAATATGAAAAAATCTTGGGGTGTTTAAAGGGGCGGGAGGGGGGTGCCAGAGAGCGAGGTGGGGTGGGGATGCCAAAGGGCGAGTAACTGTTTGTCTCCAAGAATCATTGACTATATCAAGGAGCTATTTGATGATGTCTATGGCATTATTTTTGCTTCTTTATTCATTAAATTCAAATATATTCGATATATGAAATATTTATATTCGCTAAATCATTTTTCCATTCGGTAAAAACGTTTATTTGTTTGTTAAAGCAAATTAAGTTTTCAAAATAGCCAATCACTTAATACTTTGTGCATTAAATTACATATTTCATTCGTTAAATGATATTTTTGCGTAAATTGTTATGGTATTCCCTAAGAGTAACACATTATATGCACAATATTGAATTTCTATTTGAACCCTACCGAAATAAGTTTGGCTATATTAACCAAATGGTTTATTTTTCTATTACATAGTTAATGCATTTTATCGAAAGCTAATTTGCTATTTACCGAATGCAATAAAGTAATATTCGATAACTTGCGTTGTTGTTCGATATTTTGTCACGTGACTTCGAGATTTGCAAAATGGCCGCGCAGCTATTCTACAAAGTACAAATATATCGCGTGACTGAAAGTCTCGTTAATTATCGAAAAATAACGAAATTTATCGAATGTGGCATTCGGTATTTACCGAATATAAATAATTTAAATACCGAATGTACAAATAATTAATTGAATTATACGTGCGTTGAGGAAAACAAATTCGCTGTATCACACAAATACATGTATAAATATCAAATGTGAATTGTCAATACAAAGAACAAGTGAAACTATTTAGCGAATATAAATTGTATAGATTATTACATTTGATAAAATAAAAAACATTCGATAGATTGGGTAAAGGTTTGGTAAATTGTTTTTTTATTTGGTATTTATGGAATATTAATGTACCGAATAAAGAAGCAGTTTAAACACCATAGATGTCAGCCAACTTTAAAAGTGTCTGAGACAATATATAAAATAAATTCAGAAATTTTCAATTGTTTTGTTTTGGGTATGAGGAGTGGCCCACTCCCCCTAGAAAAGTTAACAATTTTAAGACACTATTTGGTGCTCTTTGGACACTTTCAAAGTGTATGAGTCAATTAAAACATTTGAGAAAATCACATTTTTTCCCATTATTTAGAGGGGTGTCAAGGGGGTGGGGGGGGGGGTGGGGATGCCAGAGGGGGAGCAAGTATTAGTCCCCCAGAAACATTGACTATATCAAGGAGTTATTTAATGATGTCTGAGAACTTTAAAACTCTCTGAGACAATACACAAAATTCAGAATTATTTCAATTGTTTTGTGGGGGATGTGAGGGGTGGCCAACTCTCCTAGAAAATTATACATTTTTAATATGCTATTTGGTGCTTTCTAGGCACTCAATAAAAAATATGAAAAAATCACAATTTTTTTCAATTTGGGGGGTTTAAAGGGGGGGGGGGGGTGCCAGAGAGCGAGGTGGGGTGGGGATGCCAGAGGGCGAGTAAGTGTTTGTCTCCAAGAATCATTGACTATATCATGGAGCTACTGGTATTTAATGATGTCAGGCCACTTTAAAAGTGTCTGAGACTATACATAAGGGGGTCGCACCCATCGCACCCCCCCCCCCATCTGACGGCCCTGGTGTTACTTCTCATGTTCACATTTTATGTTTTTCAGCTTGAAATCCCTACAACTACTCTTCATGTTTCAGTATGATCCTAATCGGCACCAATTTATTTTGGTTTCAAAATAAACTACCCCCTCTTATACTGGCTTGTCACGTCCAGAATGTGTGACTAATCCCACACATCTAATGTTTGGTACTTTGTTTTAAATACTGTAACATGTTTTAGACGCACCTATAATAATTTAATTTTAGTGTGCCATTGTTTCAAAGATGTAGATTCTAAATAAATAATAAATAAAAATCAAGTTATTAATTGCGCATGCGTTTAAATAAATTGAACCAATTGAATTGCTGGATTTTATGTGCATGTGCCAAAAAAACGAACCAAAGATGGAACCTTTCGCAGATTGCCCCTACACCCTATGCAGACAGAGCCTGTGGGAAATATTGGGTGCGGAGCAAATGAGCGGAGGGTGCGGAGCTAACGGTTATTTTTGAATTTAAATTTGGGATATTTCTGAAACTAAGCCGTTTTGGGACTTCAAATATACCAAGATATGTGTATTTGACACCAAATATCAATACAATTGTGAAAATAATAGCGCAATTCATTCTATAGCGACGCAGTGTGCCTTAAACCTTTCCCAGACCTATATATTTTGAAATCATCCTTTTAACTGAGTCCCCAGCATTCATAAAAAATGGTGTTCAAGGTGCACTATCTATACAAATTATTTTTGCATCTTGGAAGCCAGGCAGTATCTGTGTGATTTTATAAAAATTCGGAAATTTTTTCAGATATGAGCCCCCTCTAAATATTGGGTGCGGAGCAGCTCCATAAACGTAGCTCCGCACCCAATATTTAGAGGGGGCTCATATCTGAAGAACATTTCCGAATTTTTATAAAATCACACAGATACTGCCTGGCTTCCAAGATGCAAAAATAATTTGCATGGGTAGTGTATCTTGAACACCATTTTTTATGAATGCTGGGGACGCAGTATTAAAAGGATAGTCTCAAAATATATAGGTCTGGGAAATGTTTAAGGCATACTGCGTCGCTATAAAATGAATTACACTACTATTTTCACAATTTTATTGATATTTGGTGTCAAATACACATATCTTGGTATATTTGAAGTCCCAAAACGGCTTAGTTTCAGAAATATCCCAATTTTAAATTCAAAAATGACCGTTAGCTCCGCACCCTCCGCTCATTTGCGCCGCACCCAATAATTCCCACAGGCTCTGTCTGCATAGGGTTCCCTAGTGCCGGGGCAATCTGTGTGAAGTTCGGATTTTACTTGGTTCGGTTTTTCATTAGGCTAATGGAAGATTACCACGATTCATATTGTTTTTCTGCGATCAGTTCGGCTTGGTTTGTACATAAAGGAGAAGTTTATATTCTGACATTACACTCATGTTTGGTGTATTTGTTACAAACAAAAATATTCCCGCAATAAAAGGTGCATTATGGGTAGGGACTGCTGTGAATCAATGAACAAACGTGATATCTATCTAAATTATAAGTTCTTCATAGCGCATGCGTTATAATAAATTGAACCAATTAAATTGCTGGATTTAATGCCCATGCGCAAAAAGCCGAACCTAAAAATGGAACCTCACGCAGATTGCCCCTAGTGGAACATCCTGGACTTCGACATCCTGGCTTTTCGAAAGAAACCCGTACGAAAACAAACCAACGAGGTTGATTTTGAAAGCTAGAAGTTTCACGTGTTAGACAGCAAAGTACAAGAGAGGTATGTTGGATCATTTTGTAATAAGCGTATAGTCTCTTCTATTTGTTAGTGAGGATATTTTTTCGAAAATATTATCAAGAATCTTCTGGAAAATGGCGGACAGTCATGTGTACAGTGGTGAACATAAATAATTCCTAGCCTACTAAGATATTTGCTCACATAGTTGGCCAGATCGTAAAATTTTAAATGTTAGTAACTACTTTGAATTTAAAAAATACGGAGTGGCTCCAGGACCGACAATTGTCGGTACTAGAGACTGTCCAGGGGTATTTGCTGGGGTACCGACAATTGTCGGCACTCTATCGTCACCTAGTAGTGTCAGATAGAGAACCGACAATTGTCGGTACGCAAGTGGCTGCTACGTGTTTTTGCTAGAGAGCCGACAATTTCATAAATAAATTCACTACTTCTAATTTCATAAATAACTTCATCACTGGTAGTCTAGTGGTTAGCGAGCACGATTCGAACACACTCGGTCCCGAGTTCGAATCCCGGCAAGACCTATTTTTTCTTTTGAGGGGGGATAGTGCTTCTTTTGCATCGTACAGGCATTAACTTGTAGTGAGCCATAATTTATTTCGACAAAAATTGATTCAACTTCCATCAAAATTGTCCTACAAGCTTCAATTAAAAAACATTTTAAAGCTCTTTTCTTGTTCTATCTAATGGGTCGATATATACAATTAGGAGGGGATGCTTTCGCCCCCGTCGACCTCTACCCTTACTACGCCATGGCACAGGAGAAATATCTCATTTGGAATATATCACTGTTTACTTTGCGTTTGGTAGCTCTCTCATGCGAGATGGAATCGTAGCCATATCTAAGGGAGCCAAATGCAACTTCCATCAAAAATTGTGCTATAAGGTATGAGTACAGTAATCCAACACCAAATTCGAAAATTCATAACAATACTTTGCACATATGCCGTTCGTGACCAACTATGAAACGCTTACCCCCCCCCCCCCCATAGTGTTATACATCAAAATGCACCTGTCCATATAGGGGTTCGATTGACCTACATCAAATTATAGGGAGTCAGGTTACTTTTTGAGATATCAGCGTCCGTTTATTGTAACTCGCGTTTGCTACCACTTCCTCAATTCTGATATGACAGGCAAACGCGTAGTAAACATCCTCACGTTCGGAACTATTTTGACCTACATCGCTATTTTCGTAATTCAAATGAAAGTTGAACTCCTCTTTATTTTGATACCAAATAGTTGCATACTAGGTACCCTAGAAGCCAACTATGGGTTATTTAGAACGATACCACAGGTTTTTAAATGGACTATATACCTTTTGGCAGATGGATATGGAACCTCATACCATACGATAAGCTCTAAAAAACATTCTAGCTATTTTCTTCTATCTAATGGGTAGCAAACGTCCCTTCCTTTTTATTGGGTTTTCAACGTTTACTACCATTCCCTGTTCCCGGGCTACCATTTTTTGACTGGGTTTGGTAATCCCCGGGTAACCGGGGCTAATGCCCTCCCCGGGTTTTGCACTTGTTCCCAAAATATCCGTATGATATCTGAAATATCCCCCCGCGCATTGCGCATGCGCCAGAAAATTCGAAAATCAATATTTGTCGGTCCTCTAGCGTGTAAACACAGCATATCTCCCGTACCGACAATTTATTTGTCGGTCCTCTAGCGTGCCACCACATCAGAGTCTAGAGTACCGACAATTGTCGGTACTCTAGCCTTTACGTAAAAAATAAGCAATCAAAGGCCCATATTGAAGCAGTATATGTAAAAATAGAAACATTTATACATGTCCCAACTTTTGTATATTCTAGTCTCTATCTCTAGCAGTGTTCTCCCCAGGATTTTTTCCCAACTGGGTGCAATATTTTGTCACCCTGAAAATTCGCTGCTCGCTTCGCTCGCGTTTTTCGAATTATAAACCTGCTGACTTAAGGTCTCATGGAAGTTAACAGGAAATGACAAAACAAAAAATGACAAAGCCATGCTGGATTTTGAAAATTTTTTGAACCAAGATAACAGAGTTCTGTTTGGACCTCCAGTCAGTTTAACTAGTTCCAAATATCATTTACATGACCAGGAACACAATTGAAATGGTCAGAATGACCATAAACATGATAAAATAACCTTTTTAGCCCTCTGAAAATGTGACTGAAAAATAGCTAAAAGTAGGTGCTCAGGAAAGGTCAAATGAACAGAATCTTTTGTTTTTTTCAGAATATGTGTCCAATATATTGCTCTAAATGACACAATCTTTGAAATTTAAAAAAATCGTCTGAAACAATAATGGCTGTGGTAAAAAGGAAAATAGATCGATTTTCAATTCAGTTTTTTTCAATTTTTTCTTTTTCTAAGAATGATATCAAATTTTTTTGAATTGTATCATTTAGAGCAATATATTGGGCACATTTTCTGAAAAAGTCAAAATATTCTGTTCAGTGACCTTTCCTGAGCACCTACTCTTAGCTATTTTTTAGTCACATTTTCAGAGGGCTGAAAAGGTTATTCTATCATGTTTATGGTCATTCTGACCATTTCAACTGTGTTCCTGGTCATGTAAATGATATGTGGAACTAGTTAAACTGACTGGAGGTCCAAACAGAACTCTGTTATCTTGATTCAAAAAATTTTCAAAATCCAGCATGGCTTTGTCATTTTTTGTTTTGTCACTTCCTGTTAACTTCCATGAGACCTTAATCAATATAGCTCTTCATAACCCATTAAAATATAACCATTAATAAAGTAGCAATACAGGGTGCTAAAACTCAATTTTTCTCTGTTGCCATTTTTGTCGGGGCTTAACTCTCTCATGACTGAAAATTTGGGGGAAATGGGAAGAAATGAAAAACTTAAATGTAAATGAATCTAGAAGCAAGAAAAGGAAGCAACACCCAAGAATTTATATATCATTTTGAAGGGCTATACCCATACTTTATGTTTTTTGAAAAAAGATGTGAATATGCAAATGAGATAGGGCCATTGTGACGTCATAATTCAAGATGGCGCAGTTGGATTTTTTCAAAATGGAATTATTTTAGCATTTAATTTTTTATTGAGACTTTAATTTAAAAATCTGAAAACACAGAATTATAGATCTTTTTATGCTGATTCTAGTGGTATTTGTACCATGACGTAACTCCTACAAATAAATTTTTTAGAGCTTCGAGACTGCAAATTCTCGGAAAATCTCTATGGCGATTTAACATGGGATTTTATTGTTTCCTCTGAAGGTTCCAAACTGTGTGAGCACAGGACCGTGGGTCCTTCATATTAAATCGAAGTGCAATTAGATAAGGTAGCGATAATTTATTTGCTATATTTGTTGAGTTCCAAACCCAATCTTATTGTATAACAAGTTTTAAAGCTAAATATAGCGTCAATAACCTGTATTTTAGACATGAAATCAGGTCCCAAAAGTGACAATTTTGGAGTCCCCGATCAACATTAATAGTCAATCATTAAGGCTGAGGAAATGTTTCAACCAGGCGCCAACTAGGCGCAGGAAATGTTCAACCAGGCGAGCCGCCTGGTGAATCATATTGTGCGGAGATCACTGTCTAGTTTGTTTTGTAGTTTAGCTATCATGTCTGTGCCCTCTTTTATTTTGATGCTTCTCCGCCATGTTATTTTCCACAGTCAGACAGAATGTTTCTGGCGAAAGGAAATTCTGGGATTTCAAACACTTGAAGTTGGGAAACCGGAATGGCTTACCTTTTTTAATTCCCGAATCTCTCCGAAATTAGCTCATCTTGGTGACTGTAAATTGCACAGCTGTATTCAATGGAGTCTTGTCATATTCAATCAGCCTCAATTTTAAAGTGTATATTTTATTTTTAACGTGATTTCATCGTTTTTTTGTCGACTGGTAAGAATACGCCGGGCAAATGGCAAGATGGATGACTTTTGACCTGACCTACACCGATGGCGGTGACGTCATCAATTTTATCTATACAAATTCTATTTGGTCACGTGACCTTGTGCCAGAAGTCCGACTTTTTGGTCAGTCGACCTGTTCAAAGTACATTTAGTAATAATTATTGCTTTTCAGAACAATTTAGGAAACAATATTTTCTATCTACGTCGATTACAAAGCATCTAAGGTACGTAAATTTATATGAACAACTGAGTCAATAGGGATAAATAGCCCAACGAGAGTCGGCGGTCTTGAAAAATACTTGGATCTGGATGCCAGTCCTGTTATTGATATAATTCCAGGGCAGTTCGAAGAATGTATTAGATGTCCGTGTTATTTTCGGAAAAATTAACATGGCTGAAACTCCCTAAATTACAAAAGGCCACAGCTTTTTGCACATTATACATAACTATCTGAAATATACAAAAGTTAGGACAAGTACATATGTTTATTTTTTATATACTGTTGCAATATAGTCATTTGATTGCTTATTTTTTAAATTCAAAGTAGTTACTAACATAGGATTTCATAGGCTCAAAGAATAATTCAGAAGATGCGTCACTACAGTAAAATTTTTAATGTTTGGAACTACTTTGATTGTCGGTACGGGAGACTGCCCAGTGAGTATTTGCTCCTGTAGCAACAATTGTCAGTACTGGAGACTGCCCAGTGGGTATTTGCTTGAGTACCGACAGTTTTCGTCACTCTATCGTCTCCTAGTAGAGCCCTAGTAGGGCAAGATAGAGGACTGACATTTTCAAAAATGAATATACTCCTGTTTGCATCGTTCCCTGATTATGTAGGAGTTACTGTCCAAGGCTGCTATGTTAGAATCAAAACACAAATTCGATAGATAAGTTCATATGGTTAAAATAACGAAATAATGAAATGTTACCGTGTGTCTACTTAGCAGTTTGTTCTATGTCATCCCTCCTGCTAGGTTACATTGTGGAACTCAGGCAAACACGACGCTGAAGGCATAGCATAGTGTTGTAAAAAATTTGTATACATAAAAATGATAAAATATAGAACCATTGTGCCACTTTATAAAGTTTAGCTCAATTATAAGAATATTTACATGTACTGTAAATGCTATGTTACCATTGTAACATTTACGGTAGTGCATAGTTAATAAAATATGTAATTGAAACTTTTATGGTAATACACTGTTAGTGAAGTACAACAAGTATGAAATCTGCTGTTTTTTTTGAGTTCATACTCTAAAGTCTCTAATACTAAACTAATACAACTAAAATGTTTGATTGTCCATATACTGTATGACTTAGTTTGTAAGTAATACTTGAATGTTTCACATATCATGGTTTATGGAAATGTCTCTACATTTATAAAAGTGTAAACAGTCTAATAGAAAGTTGGAAATATCAAAATATAAAGCTTATGTTACTTGAAACAAACAAACACTTGTATATTGCAACGATGTTGATACATTTAGAGATCAATTCTTTTCGCTGGATTTTAGATTCTGGTAGATCTTCTCAAAAGCACAGGTTCTTTACAGAGAGTTTTACTAGGAGTACAATTACTGGTTGTTTCAGATGATTTAGGAGGTTCAATAGCAACATGAGGTTGAGATTTGATTGGTTTAGGGATACAAAATGGTTTGACAGGACTGGGGCTTGGTGCTTTAACTGGTTGTGTTTCAGTGACAGGGTCGGGAATGTGCAAGAGGTCTTGACGGTCCCTTCTGTATACACCACCATTTTCTGCTTGTATTTTGTAAGATCTCTGTGAAATCTTCTTAAGCACTTTGGCTCTGACATCCCATGTGGCTTTCTCATCATGCTTTGATTTCATTCTTTCAGTATCATCTGGGGTTAAATTTGATAGATTCCTTGATCCTAGGGATCGTCTGAGTCTGTTAAGTATAGATCCTTTCTTTGGTTTCATGACTTGGGGAATGTTGCTTCTTAGTTTCCGCCCCATTAGCATTTCTGCTGGAGACATACCAGTTTCAATTGGTGAGTTTCGGTATGCCAACAATGCTAAATATGGATCTTCTTTGTTGTGGGCAGCTTTTTTTCAGCATGTGTTTCACGGACCTCACTGAATTTTCAGCCTTTCCATTCCCTCTATGTCTATATGGACTAGACAGTGAGACTTGGAATTCATATTGCTCAGCAAATTTGGAAAATTCAACTGAAGCAAATTGTGAGCCAGTGTCCACTCTGACTACAAATGGTATCCCAAGCCTGGAAAATGTGGATTTCATCTGATGGATGATGGTACTGGTTGATGTGTTTGATAATGTAGCTACCTCTGGATAAGTTGAAAAGTAATCTGTCATGATCAGATAGTCTTTGCCAAATAGGTGGAATATGTCACAGCCTATTTTCTGCTATGGTGCAGTTGTTCGGTCTCCATCAACCATAGTCTGTTTCCCCTGACCATATCTGTGGATCTGGCAGGCTTCACAAGAATTTACCATATTACAAATATTTTTGTAAATGCCTGGCCTTTTTTAACGAATGATATCAAATTTCCCAAGATTGTATCACTGAGAGCAATATATTAGGCACATTTTCTGAAAAATGCAAGAGATTCTGTTCAGTGACCTTTCCTAAGCTCCTACTTTTATCTATTTTCAGTCACAAAGGACCTTATACACCCTCCATTGGGATCTCCCCATGGGAAAAAATAATTCAACTGATTTTTTAAAATGAGTATTTTGCTTCAATTATTACATTTATATGCATACTAGTATCTTGTTGACCTATATTCAGCACTGTATTGATGTATATACCACTTATTAGGGTCATAATTCAATCATGAAGTGTAGAGGCATAGATTCCAAACCAGGAAGTATTTTTGTGTCTGTCAAAATCCATTTACATCCTACGCATCCCTGCATCTTATCCAAATATGTTACTACATAATGAAATATAATAGTATAATCTTTGGTTTGACAAACTTGTTTGATATTTGATAAGTGTAAAAGTTGTTTTTTGAGCATTTTTCTATAGCCATTTTGTAGAAAAAAATGATGAAAAAATGTACAATCTTTTAATTTTAAGTATGACCTGAATCGATTGCAAACTTCATATTTGCACATTTGATGAGATAAACCATTTGTGTCGTATTGTGAAATTATTAAGTTTGCAATCGATTCAGGTCATAGTGTATTTTTGGTATTTCTGTGATAATCAATGGAAACCAATGGCCTCTATTGGGATCTGCTGATATCCTCATGTAAAGTCAATGGTGCACAACCCCATGTAAGTCAATACAACCTTACTGAACGAAATGATCTCTATCTCAGCTTATGTATGTCCGAGCACTTTAATATTTTCCAAAGTATTATGACATTTTATTCTTCATGTTACACCTACGAATGATTCATTTTGACCATAGGGATATTTGCCAATAATTGCACCTTGTCCTTTCAGAGGGCTGAAAAATTAATTTCATCATGTCTAGGGTCAATCTGACCATGGTCATTGTGATCATGGTCATGTAAATGGTATGTGGAACTAGTTAAACTGACTGGAGGTCAAAGCAGAACTCTGATATCTTGGTTCAAAAAATGTTTGAAATCCAGCATGGTGTTGTCACTTCCTGTTTTGTCATTTCCTGTTAACTACCATGGCACCTAAAACCAGTGTAAGAAAAAAGATTAACTATACAAAAACGGTAGATCATGATCATGATCATGATCAGCTAGAAGTCACATTTTCAAAAGTATTAAATTTTCAAAGTTGATAAACAATTTCGAAACTATATTTTTAGATGTATTTTTACACGTAGATTTCAAATATGACATCACTTTGACTGAATTTTGAATATTTAATGACGTAAATCAAGATCATTTCTACTCGCATCTAGTCTGTTTCATTTTCTTGTTTCACTCCGTTGCATATTGGTATATACATGTAACTTGGAATCCCAAACACCCGGATGTATTATGTACAAATTGTTCGCGGTAACGGATCTCTGTGCGAGGTACAAGAAATATGTTCGGAAACAAGGAAATGGTGGTGCGCGACATAAGATTTCACGTTCGCGATATGAGATTCATGGTTCGAGTGCAAGGAACGTAGTTCGCGGTATCAGAACTGATGTTCGCGTTGTTGGAAGTCTAGGAGGCCTGATACTAATACATTACTATATGGATTTGCAATGTCTAGGTTTTATTCAAGTAACTGACTCCACTGAGTGTGTATTCAAATGTTGTGCTTATAGAATGTATCGACTCCTATACTATCTTTTGAATGAAAATAAACTCTTCCAAAAGTGATAGGACCTTAGTGCACCCATGCCATGGTAAGGACCTTAGGTTGGCATGCCAAAATGTAAAATCTCTATTTGCAGGGAGGATTAAATATGGAGTGTATAGCAATGGTCAATACGATATTTTCAGAGGGAATATCTTTTTTCTCTAGAAGTGGAACCCAAACTCAGTCATGACATGGAAGCTAACTTTTGCAATTAATAGAAACTTGTTTATTATTACATTTTTGTGTTCTATATTTGAGATGAAATAAAATGAGATTCATTTCTACAAGAGGATGGAATGAATGTCAACTTGTATATTGAACTATACTCCATTTGTGAATAAATAGAACAACATTTTCTCCAAGCCATTTAAGAAAACCAAGGCCAATGAGTGTAATTTATGCCCAGTTAAACTAACACAATAACAACTTTTTGTCTGGACTCACTTATTATGCAAGAATGAATTGTATTACTGTTTACTGCATTAAATGTCAAGTATACTATCTGTATTTAATTTCAAATGCCTATCTCACTTATCGAAGGTATACAAGAAATGTTATTTTGAAACAAATTCAGCACAACCAAAACCATGTCCATATATAAGACAAATCCAAGACGGCTGCCACAATTTTAGATCCATGCACATGTGAAGAAGTTAGAAATACACATGAATCACAAGTCCTATCCCCAATAAAATGGGAAGTTTAAGGTTCTCACACATATCAACTCTATTCCAATATACTTTATATTTGTGGTAAGGCTTGTGATCTAGGTAAACTTAGCATGTGCATGTACCTCCTATCCTCTGAAGCAAAAAACAGAAATAGTGACTTCAATTGAGAAAAATGTATCTTATGGGCTCCATATACATTTTGAGTGGCTGTCCAGCTTAAGTTAGATACTACTGTTAATCTGAGATTGAAAATTTTGTCAAGTTTAGTCCTCTGAGCCTCTCATAACTGATAACTTCGAGGTAATTGTGGTGTTACTGCAAAAACCTCTATTTCTTCCTCACAACTCTACCATCTTTTGCATCTGTCAAAACCCCTCATTTCATGTTAATTTTCAGAGTTTTGTTTGTGCCATCATTAAATATATATATTCAACTTGTTATTCAGAATATTTTAAGAACTTTTCGTTAGGTTTTTATTTTCACACTTTTGAAAAAATGACTAAGTCAGGGAATGGCCTCTTAATGGCATGTTCCCTTTCACGAATTCATATTAAGAACCTTTGAAATGAGAGCATTATTCCGCGAACTTATTGAACCACCTGGCATATGTTAATAGACAAACAAGTTATGAAACGTAAGGTAGGTGTCATTTTTCACACTGCATATGAAAAATGTTTTAGTATATTTTATTTCATATATCTATCCAAAACTTCTCAAAAACAGACATAAAATAAAAATTACTTTAAACTTTGATTTTAAGGTGATGGAGACTGATTCAAATACAGTCACACAAGTTGGGGAAATCGGTGAAGAAAGTACACACGAGGAACATTTGGAACAAGTTCCATATGAAATTGTTGAAGAAAATAATGAAGTAGAACAAGAGCTTGATCAAGAGAGTGTTGTTGTCGAAGGGGACAGTGTTGAACATGGCAATGAAGAGATGAATAATAAAGAGATCACTGTTGCTGTTGTCAATGATAATATTCCAGAAAGTGAGGACCATAATGCACTTATCAACACAGAAACATATGAGGTATGTAAACTGAAAATGATATCCAACATTTTTGTTTATTATCACAATGCTTTATAGAGGTTTAAGTTGCTTTATGTTTCCATTGTTGTAATATATAATTGTAAAATATAATTTTTCTTGAAAAATATTTGCACAGAAAATATTTGCACCCACCTGAGAAAAATTCCTAGTATAAGGAGATAACTGCTACATGGTTTGTCCAAATGTTTGTCTGAATTTATCTATGTGTAAAGATTGTATACTTCAGTTGCTCTTAAACAAAATATGTGGGGCAGTGTATTTATATTTTATAGGCTTATGGCCTGGGTGAAGGAACTGTGCTCAAAAAGGAATTCTCAATATGGCCGGATTCATTTCAAATTTTTTATGCTGTTGCCTTGAGACACATGACCTCTTCTCAAGAAGGGAATTTCAAGATGGCAGCTGATTTTTTTGTAAACAAAGATAAATTTTGATAACTCAAAAAACAGTTGACAGATTTGGTTCAAATTTTATATGCTGATGCCTAGAGACAAAGGAGCTCTGATCAAAAAGACATTTTCATGATGGCCTCTGAATGTAAAATGGCCACAAATTTTTATAAAAAGGTCATCTTTGATAATTCGAATTCCATTGGATGGATTTGGTTCATACTTTGTACTACTCCCTTGAGTTGCTGTTTTCTAGTTTACCAATATTTTATGTTATTTTCTTGCATATTCTATAATTTTACCGGTTACCTGTATTTTGCAAGCGACCAGGCGACCCAGGCGGGCGCTTTTATTTTTTTCATAGGGGTGGTAGGATCAAAAACACATTCCAAAGTTAATTTATGGACTATCTTTAAGATTATGTTGTCATAACAAAAAAAGCTAACATACGTATCAGGCCGGGGTATCAGGGCTAGGCAACTTTTTTCTCCAAGCAGATCTTGACAAAGAGTTTGCTGCATTATCTTGTTGGACCTATCTTGTTGTTGTCGTCTTCCGGTCAGGTCAAGGACACTGGATTTTTAACTTCCGGTCAAGATTTTAATTACACTAAATTTAGGAACTTTCCAAACAGTTTCGGCCTTTTAAATCCTGTGTAATATTTTGCAATATTGTTCAGTTTACTTATGCCATGCTCAGTTTGTCCCGATCTTCTCTAAACTTAATGTTCTCAGTGGTCAAGCAGGTGACCTCACTTGACCCTGACGTCACTGATCACTGTTGACCAATCAGCGCGCAGTAGACCAGAGGGTTTGTAGAAAAAAAAAGGGTACCGGGTAGTAAATACTCCATGGACTTCTAGCTCAATTTTGAAGGAAGTTACATACATTTTTGTAAATTCAAAACAAATCTTACATGTTTTCTAATGATATTTATGTTATGTATTCGTATTTTTCGTGTTTTGGGTACCCGTTTTTTTCGACCGTGTACCGTGTACCAAGTTTGAACCCAGCATGGAGGATATACATGTTAGGGGTCACACGGTTAACCGTGGCTTGCGGTTACCGCGGTTCATACCTCCACGACGGTTAGCTCGGACACAATCTTGAAAACCGCGGTTCTTGAAGAACCGTGACATTTTCAGTTTCACTTCAGAAAAATAAAAATGTAAACTCGGAATTAAACTCCATTTCAAGCTTTCGTGTAATACCAATTAACTAAACATCGTCTGGAATCGTTAATCATCATGCAATAATGCGAACCATACCTGATATTTACGACGATCTTCTGATATAGACGGCAGATAACAAAAACAAAAGGAAAATGTTGATAAATTTCACCGGCATATTGACCCGGAAGTGACCTACGCTAAACATTTCGCGCAATCCTATTGGTTGATAGAACAGTATACTGTAAAAAGCCGAACGCCGAATGCATTGAATTTGCGAACGAGTCACGTTCTGTGTATTACGTTCGCCTTTGATCCATGTTGAGTCCTGACAAAGTGTTGAACTTAAGTTATATTTCTAAAGAAAACATTTATTCAGTTTAGTGAAGTATTGTGCTAATTTTGCCAACAGTTGACAAGTTGTCCAAATGTATTCATCGGTTAGGTAAAGATAATTAATATGTATTACTTTCCTCAAATCACTAACCAAAATAACTTACTTTTTCGAGCTTTCGGTAGCAGCTAAGGTAGTACAAAGGTAGTAGCTGCTACCGAAAGCTCGAAAAAGTAAGTTATTTTGGTTAGTGATTTGAGGAAAGTAATACATATTAGTTGACAAGTTATTTTATGTGTTGAAAAAACTTGAACATCAAACAAGAAGATCAACACAGTGAACACACAGATATTTTGGGAGGGAGGGAGGGAAAAAAGACTGAACAAACAAACATTGTGTGAAACTGGATACTTACAATACTGAATACAATAAAACACTGTGACACACTTAGTATGATTTCTGATTTTCAGATCAATTTCATATATTTTTGCTCATTTCACGAGGCCCGTGAGAACCGCAATCAGAACCGAACCGAACTGTGAAATACAATCACCGAACCGAACCGTGAAATCTCAAACCGTGTGACCCCTAATACATGTACTACCCGGTACCCGGTTTTTCCTACAAACCCTAGACCAGACCCATACATCGCTATCGCTCTCGTTTTATTTGAACAGATTCAAATTTGCTGCTACAATATTGCGTATACCACCAAGTACCAACCACCATATATAGTTACACGACGACAGAATCTCAAAGATAATCATGCAATAAAATAATTTTGGAATGTGTTTTTGATCCTACCACCCCTATGAAAAAAATAAAAGCGCCCGCCTGGGTCGCCTGGTCGCCTGTAAAATACAGATAACCAATTTTACCTTTATATGCCATACTATACCACAGAGTACCCTTCTTTGATGAGACACAGTGGTCACATTTCTAATAGGATTATGATTTTCTTTTCTTTTCAGGCTAGTGGATCAGAGGTTACAGGAAAAGAAACTGTTCGTCCTACTGTGTTGATTCTGTCTCCTGATGGTAAAGTCACTGTCACTGGTAAGCCCAGCACATACATATATCATACTGATAAAACGTCAGCACTTTTAGACCTTAAAGGTTGAAAAGATAGTGCAGAGACGTATCCAATGATCATGGTCCTGGTGTCAAAATATATCGAATTTCGGATATTTCATTAAGGGTAACATCTGTTTTCATTCGCTACAAAGAAAACCCCCGAACGTACCTAATTTCTGCCGATATTCACAATCACTGGCATCCTAAATCCCCGGGAATCTTCTCCCGACATGGACAGAAAAAATGCTCACGTACATTTTAATGATTTCCCGGTGACATTGTCATGGGATTCCAGCCCCGTTTTCACCTAACGTTCTATCCAACATTCTGTTTCCTATATACCATGCACGTTTCAAGAAGACCTTCAATATGAGCAGATTTGAGGTGTTTTAGTCTTCAATTTTTTTGATTTTTCTTCGTCAGTGGACCAGGCTTACTGCAAGAGTCGCTGTAATAGACTGTCAATGGCGGTCATATTGTGTTCATGCATACGGTCACAGACAACCGCGGTTATACTGTAAACATGCTTACATGCGGTCTTACCTAATTTCAGCTGCAGTAAGAATTTTAAATGGCTGACATTCAGAAATGTTTCAAAAAACAAAATGCGGGACGTCTATCCTTTCAATTGCTTATTTAGAAGTCTATTTGCAAGTCTGAATGGTGGTATTCATCGACAAGTGCATACATTTTTTAAGAAAATAGGTATGGCAAAGAAGACTTTAAGCCAAACGTTGCACTAATAGCTCAGGAAAAGTAAAATGATCCCAAATTTCTTCTATGGTCTTTATTGAACCTTTAAGACCCTGATGCCTTAGTCTAATGCAATAAATAATCTTAAAAGGGTGGCTTGATAGAGTTGTGAAGTTATGCTTTTATTTCATCATTTACAGAATATCAAAAACTATACATACATACTTCATATACATAGAGGTTATTTAATGGGAGGTTTTTGATACAGGGTTTATCAAAGGGAAATACAATATATCTACCCGAGGGAACGTAGGGACTGAGGGTTGATGTATTGTATTTACAGAGGGATGAGCATTAATTACTCATTTATTCTATACTTAGTGGATTCTGAGGATTAAGTGAGCATTGAATGTTATGGAACCCTCATGTAATAGTCTAGTTACAAATGATGATTACAATCAAAACATGAATATTTTATCTCAATAACAGTATATGGAATTAATATCTATCCAACAGAGCCATGGTTATACACGTACTGTACTGTTGTTTATATCATTAAGTGCTCAGAAAGTACCAAACGAAATGCCCAGGGATTACTGATGAGCGGGTGATATATACAGGGTGTATCAAATAAAACGCAACAAGTAGTTACTGTATCTCGTAAAATTCCAAAATTATTGATGACTACATGAATTTCATTTGATGCACCATAAAGCCACGTCTCTTCCTTTGCAATGATATGTCATTCATTTACATGTGGTAATGGTTGGGTGAGAAATCCTTCCATTTGCACAGTGGGTCAAAATCGACTCTGGGCCAAGTTTTAGATATTGCAAAAATCAGTGCAAGGGCTAAGTGCCAATGGAAGTTCCCCTGACTTGAATTGTTGTGACTTTTTCTTTTGGAGCTATCTCAGGAGCATCTGTGCTCACAATTCCTCCACCAGATATTGCAAAACCTCGAGAAAGAATTGCCCATGGGCTGCTTTTCTCTGCTTTGACCCACAGATGACTCAGGGCTGAACCATGCATGACGTGGACAGATGAGCGCATCTTTATGTGCAAGGAAGTGGTTGCAATTTGGAGGGTTATAGGATGTATTCTTGCAAGAGTATGCGTATGAACACTTTACTGTCCATGCCACACCTGTCACACCCTCTTCCAGTAGCCCCTATGCCCCTTATACTGACTTTTGCGATGTTTATAACTTGGTCCAAAGCTAATTTTGGCCGACTTGGCAAATGGAATGATTACTCGCCCAACCATGACCAAATATCAATGAATGATATATCATTGTAAAGAGGAGACACATGGCTTTATGGTGCATTAAATGAAATTAATGCTGTTATCATTGGTTTTGTGCTTTTCTGAGATAACAATCTGTTGCATTTTTTTTTGATACACACTGTACATCTCCCGCTCACCTCAGTGGGAGATATATGTATTTATCCCATACTTGGACGTGTTATGGGTACATAAAGCCGGTTTGTAAAAACTTATATTTTCATCAGCGGGCAGATATAGCTTTACGTCCCGCTCCGAGCGGGCAGATATTGTATATCTGCCCGCTACGTCATAATCGCTGAACTTTGGCCAATTGAACAATGTGATTGGTATGGGATAAACAGATCATCCTATAGTCGGTTCAGGATATTGGGATTATCCCTTGGCCAATATAATGTATCTACCCTCGGGACCTACGGCCCTCGGGCAGATATATTATATTGGCCTCGGCATAATCCCAATATCCTGAACCTCATATAGGATAATCTCTATTTATCCTATGACAAGTGAGGTTTCAGGTACATAACAGCGGGTTAAACATTTTTTTTTCAATTTTAAAAAAATTGAAAAAAAAAATTTGGGAAAAATTAATTTTGAAAAAAAAAATTGAAAAAAAATTTTAAAAATATTTTTCACATTTTATTTTTTTCAAATTTTTTGAAAATCTCGCAATTTTTAAGAACAAAAAACCGCCTAGTACCTTAAGTTTGTTTTGGAATTTTGGATCTTTTTAAGGTATGATCACGGACCTAAAGTCCGTGGTATGATGTACCTAGGACCTCAGTAGGTATGAAATACATCTGTTATGTACGGTCGGTTTTGGATACATGTTTCATATACGACAAATAAAATCAACATTAGTTTAGAAATTTAAAATCTTTTCAATTTACCAGTTGAGGAAATAATCAATGTCTCATTGATAAAAGTCACTTGTCATAGGATAAATTAGTTATGTGATGCTCGGTTTTGGATATGGGGCATATCCCTCGGGAAATATGATATCTTACCTCGTTCCCTCTGGGCCCTCGGTAAGATATCAATATTTCCCTCTGGATATACCCCATATCCAAAACCTCCCATAACATAACCCTCATATATCACCCGCTCACCTCAGATATCAATTATATTCCTGCATGTTATTTACCTATAACACTACTAAGTATGGAATAAATAGAGGTTCTTTAATTGGAGGTTTTTGATACAGGGTATATCTGAGGGAAATACAATATATCTACCCAAGGGACCGTAGGGGCCGAGGGTTGATATATTGTATTTACCGAGGAATATACCCTGTATCAAAAATAGAGCATTTAAGTTGTACTAAAACCAATTAGAATCTCTTATTATTAGCTCACATGGTGAGCTTTTGCAATCACTCACTTGTCTGTCTGTCCGTCCGTCCGTGCGTCCATCCATCAACAATAGTGGCACATTTTAAAACCTCTGTCGATAGGATTCCTGTTTTAAGTTATTTCTGTTCAACATCAATACAGAAAACTCCCCTATGACTCCTGGTTCAAAAGCTCGCCTATTTTCAAAATGGCCGCCATTTTTGTCTCTCGAAATTCACTTTTGACCCATTTCCTAGCTTTACAAATAATTTCAGGTGTCGTACATTGTAAAAATCCATGTCAATGTAAAGAGTTGATATATGAAATAATTTTGTTACAAAACAGACCGTCCGTTAACAATAGTGGCACATTTTAAAACCTCTGTGGATAGGATTCCTGTTTTAAGTTATTTCTGTTCAACATCAATACAGAAAACTCCCCTATGACTCCTGGTTCAAAAGTTCTCCTATTTTTAAAATGGCCGCCATTTTTGTCTCTCGAAATTCACTTTTGACCCATTTCCTAGCTTTACAAATAATTTCAGGTGTCGTACATTGTAAAAATCCATGTCAATATAAAGAGTTGATATATGAAATAATTTTGTTACAAAAAATCAGCGAAAAATTATTTCCATTTTTTTTATTTTCAGCCATTTTAGTTAATCTGACTATCTGACTCGCGAAATCCACTTTTCCGTCAACAACAGTGGCACGTTTTAAAACCTCTGTCGATAGGATTCCTGTTTTAAGTTATTTCTATTCAACATCAGTACAGAAAACTCCCCTATGACTCCTGGTTCAAAAGCTCGCCTATTTTCAAAATGGCCGCCATTTTTATCTTGCGAAATTCACTTTTGACCCATTTCCTAGCTTTACAAATAATTTCAAGTGTCCTACATTGTAAAAATCCATGTTAATGTAAAGAGTAGATGTATGAAATAATTTTGTTACGAAAAATCAGCAAAAAATTATATCCATTTTTTTATTTTCAGCCATTTTAGTTAACATTGATTTGTCAATCTGTCTCGCAAAATCCACTTTTGGACCATTTGCCTTAAATCCTCTGTCTATAGGATTCCCGTTTTCAGTTAATTTTGTTCAACATCAATACAAAAAACTCTCCTATGACTCTTTGTTAAAAAGCTCGCCTATTTTCAAAATGGTCGCCATTCTTGTCTCGCGAAATTCACTTTTGGCCCATTTCCTAGCTTTACAAATAATTTCAGCTGTCCTGCATTGTAAAAGGCCATGTCACTGTAAAGAGTAGTTGTATGAAATAATTTTGTTACAAAAATTCGGCAAAATTTTGTCTTGCGAAATTCACTTTTGACCCATTTCCTAGCTTTACAAATAATTTTAAGTGTCCTACATTGTAAAAATCCATGTCAATGTAAAGAGTAGATGTATGAAATAATTTTGTTATGAAAAATCAGCAAAAAATTATATCCATTTTTTTATTTTCAGCCATTTTAGTTAACATTGATTTGTCAATCTGTCTCGCAAAATCCACTTTTGGACCATTTGCCTTAAACCCTCTGTCGATAGGATTCCCGTTTGAAGTTAATTTTGTTCAACATCAATACAAAAAACTCTCCAGTGACTCTTTGTTCAAAAGCTCGCCTATTTTCAAAGTTGTCACCATTCTTGTCTGGCGAAATTCACTTTTGGCCCATTTC